CACTGACACGTCTAGCATGTGGACTAAGGTAATAAATATTTCTTTGTGAATAAACTAACTGTTAGTGCTTATATTTGTTTACTATTGCCACTGTAACAATTTGCCACAAGTTTAGTGACTTAATACAGACTCCCGCCTTCCTGGTGGTGCAAGGGGTTCAAGGTATGAAGCTCTCCACAGCCATTGAAGTAGGAGTTTGATCCCCGGCCAGGGAGCTATGCACTTGGCGCAGCAGCCTCTCCTGACTCACCGCTGCTCCCCTCAGCAGTGTCTTTTGGTCATTCTGCCTGTTCTGTTCCCCACTCTGTCTCTGGTGACTCTTCTTACCCCCTACAACTCTGGCCTGTACCCCAGTTCTTGTATGGATAAATAAATAAACCTTTTTTTTTTTTAAAGATTTATTTATTTATGCAAGAACTGGGGTACAGGCCAGATGCGTGGGAGGGTGAGAGGATTCACCAGAGGCAGAGCAGGGAACAGAACAGGTAGACTGACGAAAGACACTGCTGAGGGGAGTAGCAGGCATGACAGGAGAGGTCTGCCACGCCATGTGGGACCCTCGCCAGCTGGTCGGCTGGGATCGAACTGGCACTGCAGAGGCTGCGGATAGCTTCACAGTGCTGCGCTCAACCGCCGGCACCACCAGGGGAGGCCCTAAATAAATCTTTAAAAAAATAACAATACAGATTCATCTTACAGTTTTGGAGATAAAGAGTCAAAAATGAGTAAGCAAAGTGGTAGTACTGAAGGCTCTGCAAAGGATTGGTTTCCTTACCTTTTTACAGAGTCTAAGGTCACTTGCATTCCTTGGTTTGTGACCCCTTCCACCATCTTCAGCATCAACAGTGTGGTATCTTCAGATCTCTCTGACTGCAACCGTCTTGCCTCCCTCTCATAATGACCCCTATGATTACATTAGCTTTACTGGAAATCTGGATAATCTTCCATTTTGAAATTTTTTTTTTAAGATTTATTTATACATATAAGAAATGGGATACAGGCCAGAGATGGGGGGTCACCAGAGACAAAGTGGGGAACAGAACAGGCAGACTAAGTGAAATACACTGCTGAGGGGAGCAACGGGCGAGGCAGGAGAGGTCTGCTGCGCCATGTGGGTAGCTCCCTGGCCGGGGATTGAACTGTGCCACAGTGGCTTCGGATATCTTCATAGGTTTCATCTTAACCCCTTGCACCACCAGGGAGGACCCATTTTGAGATTCTTAATCTAATCACATCTGCAAACTCCCTTTGGCTATAAAATATTATGTGTTCAAAGGCTGTGGGGACAAGAATGTGGTTATTCTGGGGCCTTTTCTGCTGCCAGTACTGAAAGCTAATTTCTCTTTATAATCTTTTATTATAAACTAATTATCTGATTTATACTTCAGCATCAGAAAGTGGTGTGACTCAAGTTGCCAAAGTAAACAAAGTGGAAAATAACGCATTTGATTTGAAACAGGGAACAAGGAAATACTGGAAGATGTTTAGACAAAGATTTTTGAATGTATAGAGCCAGGGAAATGAAAAGTAACATAACATGATCAATAAACAGCTATTAAATGGATGACAAATTAAAGTGCAATAAACTTCCAGTTATAAAATAAATAAATCATGGGTATTTAATGTACAGTGTGGTGACTATAGTCAATAATGTTGTATTGCATATTTGAAGGTTGCTAAGAAAGTAAAAGTTCTTATTACTAGCAAAAAAAGTCATAACTTTGGTGACTTATGATGTGACCATTTTGCAGTATGTACAAATATCAAATCATAATGTTGTATACCTGAAACTAACATAATGTCATGTCAGCAATACCTCAATTTTTAAAAAGGAAGGAGATTAAAGGAAAATCACTTAGTTTCTTAAGTGTTTTATTGATCAGGGTTTTCCTTCACTATTATAGTCCTGTAATAATCCTTCCATCTGAAAAGTATTTTATAAACTGCACTACACATCTAATATAATAAAGCCTCTTTCTTCCTACTTAAAGTGACTTAAGTACATTCTATAAAATATGTGAGCACTGAGGTAGCTAATGGATGGAGAGAGGTAAGAAGGGGGTGTTATGCTTCCCTTCTCAACCTCAGGGAGTTGTATATAGATGATGGAGATTTTTTTTTTTAAGATTTATTATTTATTTATGTATACAAGAACTGGGGTGTAGGCCTGGGGTGTGGGTGGTGAGAGAATTCACCAGAGACAGAGTAAGGAGCAAGACAGGCAGACCTACTGAAATCACTGCTGAGAGGAGCAGCAGGCTTGACAGGAGAGGTCTGCTGTGCCATGTGGGTAGCTCCCTGGCTGGGCACTGAACTCGTGCTGGGGATTGAACTCATGCTGAAGTGGTTGGTGATAGTTTGATGGCACTAAGACTTTAACTCCTATGCCACCAGGGAGGCCCGGAGCTTTCTTTTTTCTCCCCACTCAAAATACACAAAGAATTAGCACAGTCCTCAGTGACAATGCCAAGGGTGACTTGGGAGGATATTGTCCCCACCTCCAACCTCTGTTAGCCTCTTAAACCTTTTACCAACAAGAATAAGAATTTGACGTGGCGGGGTGGTGGGCAGGTGGGGGGGGGCAACACACAACTGTATGCTTACAACTCAAATCAATTTCCTCCTCCCCGCATTTCCACCCTTTCCCCACTGTCCACTCTCCCCAAGTTGATAGACATTCCTCTTTGGTCTCTCTTAAATTGTTTGCCCCAATCCAACCAGCCTTCCTCAACAGTTCTTTTTAAAGCAAATTTTTTTTTTTACTTAAAGTAAATGCTGAATTGTCATCAGCCCTCCCCCCAACCTCTCCCACTACCCAGAAATAACAAATTTCTTAGCTTCATAGCCATTAAGAGGCAACCTAGAGGATGAGGACATGTCTTGCAGATCCAGGTGGACCCGGGCTCTGCCTCTGGCTGGCAGTGTGGCCTCAGGCAAGTTCCTGCCCTTTCCAGCATCCGAGAGCTGGGGATATTAATAATGTGTGCCTCATCGAGCTGTTTGGAGCAATACATAAGCTAATATTTGCAAAGCACCCAGAACAACGCCTGTGTGCATTGCAAATATTTGTTAAATAAACATATGTCCAGACTTTCCTGAGTACACAGAAGCATTTACACACACATATTTACTTGTGTTTATTTTATTGTTTTTGTTTGTACAAAAACCTGATCTCACACTACATACTATTCTGTAACTTAATTTTTTTCCTTCCCAGGATGGTTGGGGCATCTTCCCCCATCAGTTTGTAAAGTTCTATGTAGTGGTATGTTGACTAGGGTATTACTTTTCGGATGTGGCTTTAAATACATAAATGATTCCTCATGTTTTTATGTGATTGTGTAATGTGTGTTATGGATGCACCAAAATGTGTTTCTCAAGACCTGCGTTGGTAACATGCCGTTGGCGTCTAGTCTTTGGTTTGACAGGGCAGCTGGGAGCCTCTGGACCCCTTGTCCTTGCCTCCTGTGCATCCTGGTTGTATGCATTCCTGGAGTGCAGCGGGTGCACATTTAACTGCTTTGGATATGCACTTGTGAATGACTCTCCCGAAGGGTTTCCTAGTCTGTATTCCCGCTGGGAGTGTCAGTAGGACCTGCAGAATCATGTCTTTACAAACCTTTCCTGCCCAGAGTCTTTCATGGTCCTGCCAGGGTGTTCGTGCTCAAACGATCTGGCCTTTGAAGGCCACCATAATGTGACCTTGTCTTTTTAATTTTCCCTAACGTGACCCCATCTGTCTGTATCCGTACCTGCTATTACTATATCAACGCTCTGTAGTTTTAATTGGGGCAATTTTGCCCCCAGTGGACATTTGGCAATGTCTGCAGGAATTTGGGTTTGCCACATCTTGCGGGGCAGAGTACTAGATCTGTATGGGTAGAGCCTGGACTGGAGGTGCTGCTTCACATCCTGTAGTGCACAAGGCAGCCCCCCCCCCACAAGAGAATTCTCTTATCTACATATCAGTTGTGCTGTGGTAGAGAAACTGAGTTAAGCTGTTGACATCTCTAGATTGACTGTTGCTTACCTGCCTCTTGCCCCCCGGTGGACAAATGATTTATCAGTTCTTTGGGTAGCTGGAGACTATCTTGAGAATTCTAAAGCCTTGCCTGGACTAACTGGGAGAAAAAAACTATTTCACCAAATTGTAATATCAATGGCATGGTATTACCCTTTTTTAATTATTTTTTTCATTTTCCAAGACACATGCCTAGTTGTGTATGTGTAGCTGTCATCAATTACCCTACTGTTGCCTGAACAGCCGGCATCTTAAGAGTGATTGGAAGCTCTTGCAGCCGCCAGCTCCTCCTCTAACCTGCCATTTGTCTTGGAGGAAAACCTTACTCACTTGCCATTTGTCTTAAAGCCCAATGTTTATGTTTCCTGGCATTTATTTCATATCTTAAAGATCTTTGCTATCTTAAGAGGAGGTGCTGGCTTGATATTTTCTGCATTGTCTTAAAAGTGGTTGTCAACTGACTAACTGTACAGCTTTTCCATTTTATAGGATCAGACAATCAGCAATTCGGGAGCTCCAGGAAATAACTGCATTACGCCCTTTTGTTTGGTGCTTATGCTTGTACTTCACATAGAAGGGCATGATTGAGGCCATTTTCAAGTCTGGGTGACTCTTATTTCAGGGTTTGGGGGTGAAGATAGCTCTACCCCCAGTGTCAGGGTCTCAAACTTTTTCTGTAAAGGATCAGACAATGAGTACTTTCATCTTTGGGGGCCATGTGGTCTCTGTCACTGTTTCAGCTCTGCTCTGAAGAGATTTAAATGAATGGACATGACTGTTCCAGCTGTGGATTTTACGTCCAAAAACAAGTGGTGGCCTGCAGGTCATCGTTGGCTGAGCCTCTGAAACCATCAATATTTGGATATTGGATGGATGAATTTACATTGCCACTGAATGGTTTTGAAAATGAAAGAATCCAGAGTAATGATTTTTCTGGGAAGGCTGGTGATGTGTGACCTCTCTTTGTTTTCCCTTGTAGAGATGTGGTATGGTGTGTTCCTGTGGGCACTGGTGTCTTCTCTCTTCTTTCATGTCCCCGCTGGACTACTGGCCCTCTTCACCCTCAGACATCACAAATATGGTAGGTTCATGTCTGTAAGCATCCTGTTGATGGGCATCGTGGGACCAATTACTGCTGGCATCTTGACAAGTATGTTAGACATTAAAATACCAGTCAAAACGTTTCATATAACTAGTCAATGTCAGGGTCCATTTTAGAAACATGTCTGAGTGAGATGAAATTAAGAGTGGGTTTTATCCACAAATCCTGTTTTCTAATATGTGTTTTGTTTTGTTTTGTTTTCCTTCAACTCCCAAGCCCCCCACTAGTAAACATCTTTGACTTCCTGTGCAAGATTTTTCCCTCATGGGCTTCCAGGAATCCATATGAAGCTTTATGCCATACATCTTGTGTGATAAATCACTAGCAAGAGAAAGATATTTGTCTCTTTGGAAGCTCCTTCCTGCTTCTTTCAAGCTGCCACTTGACTTTGGCATTGCAAGTCAAATGTGGTTACATTAAGGATGGAAGACTCATTCTAATGACAAAAAATCTTGTTTAGAAAAAGTACCAGGTTACTTTTTCCTCTCGGGACTTTCTGAGTAAGAATTGAAGTAACATTCATATTTGTACCTTTTTTTTTTGGCTTTAGCTCATGTCATAGGGATGAGAATGATAAATTTAAATTGTTTTTAAACTCATAATTAAATATAACTTATACAATTTATATAAGACTTAGGAGAAAGGGAAAATAAACCTTCCATTCTGGCATCCCTGAGTGATAACCACAGCTTGCATTTTGGTGTGTGCTTTCAGACTTTCTTCTGGGTATACGTGTAAACATAAATAACATATTCCTATTAATTTGTAACTTTTATTATTTTCACTGTGGATTTAAACCTTGACCCTCAAGCAGATATCTGTCTGCTTGACTTGAGGATTTTTGGGGACAAAGTGACCTCATTTCTCTATATTTTGTAGATGATGAAACCTCTGTGATAACACTGAGAGAAGCCAGCTTTCTCCTATCTGTATTTTAAGGAGTTTCCATAACTGGCTTTGTACAATATAATTTTTTCAATTTAATTTTTTTAATCTTATATATATTTTTACATCATTTTTCATTTTTGTACAATGTATGCATTTTCATCTTGGTTATAGTCCCCATACAATTCCCATCACCCTTGTTTTGTTCCTATTCCCTTTTCCCCCTCCACCTCTGTAGTATGTCTCTGGTTTACAGTTGCTTGTTGATTTTGATTTTTACTTTATTATAATTAGTCTTTTTCCTGGTCCCTTATTTAGGTTTTCTAAATTCCTGCTATGAGTGACACCATCTGGTATTTTTCTTTTTCTTTCTGGCTTATTTCACTGAGCATGACTTCCAGCTCTATCCATGTTGCTGCAAATTGCATGAGTTTATCTTTTTTGATTGCTGAGTAATATTCCATTGTGTATATGTACCACATCTTCTTGATCCAGTCATCTATTTTTGGGCGTTTGGGTTTGTAATAGCTTAGCTATTGTAAACAGTGCTGCTATAAACATAGGGGTGCAGGTGTTCTTTGGAATTGATGTTTCTGTGTCCTTTGGGTAAATACCTAGGAGTGAAATTGCTGGATCATATGGAAGCTCCATCTTTAGCAGATTGAAGAATCTCCACAAAGCTCTCCATAGTGGTTGGACCAGTTTGCACTCCTACCAGCAGTGCAGGAGAGTTCCTTTTTCTCCACATCCTCACCAACATTTGTTGTTGCTAGTTTTTTTAATATGTGCCATCTCACTGGTGTAAGATGGTATCTCATGGTAGTTTTGATTTGCATTTCCCTGATTACAAGTGATGTTGAACATTTTTTCATATGCCTGTTGGCCGTTTGCACTTCCTCTTCAGAGAAGTTTCTTTTTAGCTCCTCTGCCCATTTTTTGACTGGGTTGTTTATTTTTTTTGTTGTTGAGTCACATCAGCTCTTTGTAGATTTTTGTGATCAGTCCTTTATCATTAGTGTTGTGTGCAAAAATTTTCTCCCAATCAGTGGGGTGTCTCTTTATTTTGGTTACTGTCTCTTTTGCTGTCTGTACAATATTTTTAACTGTATCACCTGCTGTTGTCTTAGAGAGCCTCTGCTCCAGTGTCCTCACTGGGTGACTGGCCCCTAGGGCCTGTTTCAGATTTCTCATCAGTAAAATAGGGGTTCTACCTACTCTGCTCACGTTATGACACGTAAATGAATTAATTGTATATTAACAGAGTACCTGACACATGGTAACTGTGCAGTCAGGGCTGTGATCATCTCTACCTTCAAGACTCCAGTGCAGAGTTGGCTTCCTTTTCACTGTGCTGCTCTGCTATGCTTTTTCCTTTAACTTTCTTCATCATCCAAACCTACTTCAAATTTCTTACACTTCTTTCTACTCAACCCACTTTTGAGGGAGCTAAATTACAAAGGGGTCCATGAAGCACATGTCTTTTCATTGTTTTTTTTAAAGATTTATTTATTTATTTATACAAGCACTGGGTACAGTCAGAAGCACGGAAGGGTAAGAGAATTCACCAGAGCCAGAGCAGGGAACAGAACAGGCAGACCGATGAAATACACTGCTGAGGGGAGCAGCAGGTGCAGCAGGAGAGGTCTGCGCGCCATGTGGGCCCCTCACCTGTGGCCGGGGATAGAACCAGCGCTACCGAGGCTGCGGGCAGCTTCGCAGCCCAGCGCTCAACTGCTGCGCCACCGGGGAGACCCAGTACGTGTCTTTTGTGTCTGTGTGTTACCATTGCCAGTGGAGCCTTTCGAAGCCCACGTCTCAAGCAGCCAATAAGGGTCATAGTTAATAATATTCTTTCTTGTTTTTAAAATGTGTTGTTAAACTTTCACCTCACATTTAGAACATCATAGGCATTTAATGGGGATACTTTAGGCTTGCATTATTCAAAATTAGTCTGATTCACGCTTGTGCTTTCTCTCTTGTGTCCCCAGCTAGATTCTAGATACTATAACCATAGGAATCGTACCTCATAAAACATAGAAGTAAATAAATATTTTATGAAACGAACATACTGTGACCAAGGTGAATTTTATTTGAAGCATTTCTGATGGGGAGTATCTTCTGAGAACTTTGGATTTGTTCTTTTCAAACTAATGAATAGACTCATGATATAATGAATCTTGATACAATGCTGAGTTCCTGCAGCAATTCAGATGGTATCTGGGGACATACAGATGTTTGTTTTGTTTGTATTTACTCAATTTCTAGGACATTATAGTGACTAACATAATAAGCACAATAAATGATGTAGAGAACAGGAAAGAATCCCCCAGTATCTCTCCCTCCATGCCCTTTGAATTAACTACAGCTTTATAAACATAGATATTCTCTTGCTTTTCTTTCCCCTTTACTCCCTCCTCCATTCATTTCTGAAGGCAATTCTGATGGTAATAAAAGGTAGAGCAGAGATTCCCTGTGGCTTCCCCTGACATATTTCTTGCTCAGTGTCACACACATTTTTTGCCATTTGCTCAGAATGTATTGGTTTAATGCATAGGGAATAGAGAGATGTTTTTGAGTTGGGCAAGAGGTCACTTGGAAATTGCAGTTTTTGTGATTTGGATTATGACTTCCAGATGATTTTACACAGTAAAAGTAGGAGTAACTCTCACTTTCAAGGAGTCACTTTTCAACATTAAAAAACACATTAGTGATCTGCATACCACGAAAGGAATACTTAAGACCTACAGTCGTCAGCAAAAACAACAGAGCAAACACTTCTATAATATTTAAATTTTAATGTTAAAAAATCTGGAACATTCTATTTAAAGTCTAAATGCTGTATTTTTCTAATGGTATTAACCTTGATTCTTTTCTTTTTTTCTTTTCTTTCTTTCTTTTTTTTTTTTTTAAACACTTGACCTTTTGAACAGGTGTAGCAATTGCTGGAGTTTACCGAGCAGCAGGAAAAGAAATGATATCATTTGAAGCTATCACCTTGGGCACTGGACAGACATTCTGTGTGGTGGTGGTCTCCTTTTTACGGGTTTTAGCTACTCTATAGCATAAACCCTTTTGCTATGATGTCAGACTTAAGTTTTATAAAACTCTTGAAAACACAGCGGGATGTCATGTTTTCTTAGTTCTTCAGATGGAAGCAAGTCAGATGAAAAGTATATGAAGAACAACATCTTAGCCCTTTCTTCAGTTTGAAGCCCTAGGAATGGAAGATCTTTTTGGACTTCTATTGTTCTCAGCCAAAACAAATCAAGTCTTTGGGGGGTAGATATTTAATTTAAGCTGTTTTACGGGTACACCTTTATACAAGCCAGGTCAGTGCTTCTGGGATGGCATTTTTTGCACTGAAATTCATAATATTCAGTAAGAAAATGCTGAATGTTGGTTATTTCAGAGAAACAGTGGAAAATATTGGTTTATTTCTGAGCAGAATAGACTGTACTGAAATCTATTTGAACTGATCTCGATTAAAATTTGGCAATCTTCTTTCGCTACATCATGACAATAAGTGCCAAGTAGGTGTTGGTTGAATGTAGCTTTGAGAACAAATTTAGTGAAATCTAACAAGAATAAAAATCTACAACGTAAGTAGTGGCTTTGATTACACCGTTCAAATAAAACAAAGATAACCACTGAATGATGTGACTTGATGGATAACTTTTTTGACCTCTGAATTATTTAATGTATTCTAAGAGATGTGAATTTGTTGTTTTGTACACTACCAAAATAAGCTAGCGGAATTGAGGCCTTTTTGAAGAATACTTGTACTACTTTTTCCTATTGCTTTTATTCTATTAATTTTATTTATGAAAACATACCCTATTAAATAGCTTTGGTTGAAAATTTCAGATCAGATTTGTTTGGATGCTCTTTGGACATTGGGCACATAGAAAAGATACTTTAAACATTGTGTTAAGAGTCTTTCTTAATGACTTTGGTTTACTCATAACTTGAAAAATTGTAGCAGTGTAGCTTAAACTAGAGGTAATGGTTATTGATTTCTTAGACTTCATGTAATTACCTGGAGGTGGGTCTTCAGCCCACTTTTACATTATTGGGTATCACTTGCAGAAAGTGCCTGAACTGAAGTGTCACTTTCAATTATGTCTCCACTGTGCCCTTTATGTTTTCTTTCAAGAGAATTTATATCTTTAAAGAAAATGAACTATCAAGAGTTTTTCCAATTTTAGCTATTTTTATTTTTCTTCTACTGCCTAGCTTTCTTTTTCACTAAAAGGCCTGAAAACTGTGACTTACAAAAGAGAAAGAATCACAAAACTGAAGTATCTAACTTGATCCTACCACCTAAACTGTTTTGTATGGTATTGAATTTGTTGTTTTCAAAATAGTTTCTGTTCATTAAATCTGGCACTTTTAAAGGAAAGTTTTCATTGTGAGAGTAAGACTAATAGTCCATTAGTTTTGCACATAACCTATTAGTTTACATGCAAACACGTTTGCATACAACTAATAGGTTATATGCAAATGAAAATACCAATCCCAATTAAAGTTGTATGCATTCTGACTTCTAATTAAAGCAGTGTGCACTCAGGAGGGCTAATTTTCCAGGCAAAGTCATAGAGAAAAATTACAAAGAGTTCACAGAAATTAACCGGGCTTTTTTCTTCTGACTAATAAATGATTAGACCATTTATTGAAATTATAATGATATCAATATTCAGACCAGATGGAAAATACAAATAGAATTGGAATCCAAGCAAATGCCCCAACAAGATTACTCTTCAATGCTCAACTCTTTCAAGTAAAATTTTAGTCTTTAAATAAGAATCCATTTTTCAGTTCAAGGAATTATGATTCTGAAAAGTATCCCTTCAGTTTAAACAATTTGGGGATGTTGTATCCTTTCTTCCACAAAATTACTTTAGTCATCTTTACTGAAGGATCCCTCTTACAACATTCTTTTGGAAAGAACTTTACAAATTGAACATGTGGACCAATATTTGGTGGGCCTCTCTCCCCCAACTACTAATTTTTAAACATATGATCCATGGTTTCAATATTTGGTTATTTTTCTTTTAGAGCCAAAGCATTAATGTATTTTGAAAGGTGTCTGCTCCTTGTTTTATCTATTTATATTATCCATTCTTTTTAAAAGCTTCAAATATTAAATGTACCTTCAAATTATTGAATGTTTCATCTATCCCAGTATGTGAACTTTATTCTGTGAATAAATGTATATAGATTTTATACAGTTCAACCTTTGTAGCTTGAAGTGTTTTCAGGGAAAAGCTATTGGAATGATACAGTATGTCTGTTCCCCCTAAGTATGTGGGTTTTTTTTTTTAAAATTTCTCATCTGAAAATACACAATTTGGGGATAGTTGGCTGAGATGAAAAAATATTGGCATTGTTTTACCTTGTATCTTTTTTTTTTTTAAAGCAAAAACTTTTTAACAAATAATTTTCTCTTTTTTCCATTCTTGGCATAAATTTAATTCTTTCCAGTGAAGCCCTCTTAATGTCCTCCAAAATGTGAACTTCTATTTCTGTCTGGGTCAAAAATCCATTCACAAGGGAGCTGTGCAATTCCATCACCCTTTGTGACTTTGAACTTTCCTTTGCCAAAATCAAACAGTACAACACTACCATTTCCTCTGTTAGCTTCATCTATGACACCAGCTCCTACTTCTGTAGAGTATTTTGCCACCAAATCAGAATCTGGAGCTTTTCTTCCATAACACAAAGAAGAGCTCTCTGAATGGCAGTTGTCACAGGGGAGATGACAGTTGTCACAGTGCCTCTTCAGAACAGAGCGAACAAGGGGGATGTAGGTTTTTGAGACTTTTTGCCAACAACTTGCTTTATTAGAGACATAAGCAATCACCCCTTCCCCAGCAGCTGTGCATCACCTCCTCCCCCCCCTTTTTTTTTTCAATTTTGCAAGAGTGGGAGGCAACCTCTAACCATAGAAACAATCTTCTGGGATTTTTAAGATGGGGGGTTTTGGAGGCAAAGGCAGCACATGAAAATGTAAGTCCATGTACACATGTGTAATAAATATTCCAAGAGAAATGTGTCTCTTTATGCTTCTAATTTTTTTTTTTTTTGCAGCAAAACATTACCCCTAGGAAGTATTTAAACTAGTGAAAGTTCATGCAAAGAATTACCCTTGAACCCACCCTTATGTTTTTAAAGTTTTTAAATAGTATGTTGTCTTCTGATTCTGTTATCTTTTCTGAGAGTTCTGGTTTGAATTAAGCTCTCACTTAAGTTGTATGCACAACTGCAGTGCGTATGAACCTTCCCTAAGAAACCATTTCCTGGAATGTGAAGTCCTGGTGCCATCAACTGTCCACACATAGAAAGTTCTGTGTATGTGCATTTCCTTTCCATGCTTTCTGTGAGGCTGGTTGTGAGTAAAATCAGTTTAACTTTTTGTATTAGATAATTTCACTAACTGCTACAGTCAAATGATCAAATCTTTGTACAATAGAAAATTATTTAAATTTTATTTTTCTACTGACATTTCTAATTCTGCTATAAATGTTTATCAATAAAGAATGACATTCAATTCTCTGAACTGGAACTGTTATTTTGATTTCAGTGGCCAGTGACTTCAATCTTTTGTAAACAGTTTTCCAACTTAAGTTTTGTTTTGATGACCATAATTAACATACAGGTTTAACTGTATTTCTCTTATGTTCCCCTTCTTACTGATTTATGGTGAAATCCTTGTTCAAAGATGTAATTAAAACTTCACTTAAATGTGAACTTGAGTCTTATTAACTCCACTCATTGGGCTCTATGTTGCCATTAAGGACTATTATAGTTCCATACTGGAGTGGCTGAAGGCTGATACAGTATGTGAAAAATAATATTTCAGTACTAATTCCCCAAGAAGAGAGGCTTCCAAGGTTGGTTTACTACTCTCAGTGACATTATAAGTTGTGCTCTGCCATTTGCAGTAAATTGGAGTGACCTATTTAAGTAGCTTACCTTGTGGTTACAAGAAAACCAAACATTGGGTCTGGAAGGAGACCAGCCATCCATTCACTTTTTTTGTAAGTATAACATAGTACACAAGTCTTTGTTAGCACAATGCTAACCAATCCTGATTTCTACCAAACTATATGACACAAGAGACAATAGGTCCTACCCTACTTAGCCTTAAGGTAATCACTTTCTTTGGGGGCAAAAAAAGGACTTCTACATTGCAATGGGCATTTCTGAGTTCTTCACAACAATAGACTGGGTCATTATCCAAAATTAATAAAGGCAAGATTTCTGCCCTGGAGATAACATTGAACTTCTGGGATGAATCAATTGTGGAACCAATCAGACGTCATTGATGCTTTTTTATTCCACAGCCAATATATGGGCATATGGTTCACAATTTTCACTCTCGGTGCTTGTGAATTTGGGGATCTACACACCATTAGTGGTTTGCACTTAAAGCCGCCCTTGGCATTGGTGCACAATAGCAAGGTTGCATATTCTTGGCATGACGGAGGCGTTGGAGGCCATTTGCGTTATGTAGGTTCGTTTACCAGCATCCTTGTGAAATAACCCTGTCTCACCAGCACTGAAAACCTGCCCTTCCCCGTATCCCTTTTCCTGTATAACACTTAGCAAATGTCTTTTAAATTCTTTCGCAGCCTTCTGATCTGCAGAACTTGCCTCATTTGCAAGTTTAACATTTTTCATGCCACATCGCCTTTTGAAACGTGCCAACCAGCACATGCCAGCCAGCACTAGCCGAGGAGTTTTTAACATTTTTCTGACCCTGGGAAACGTGACTGTAAATTTCTTCGGCTTTCAGCCTCACAACGACGCCGTCCATCAGGCCTTTTTATCGGTCGTCATCTCATGAATCCACAGATTTAGGCGCTTTTCCATAGTTTCCTCACACACGATAGACGTTGCTCTGGCACTCCGGGAGCAGCCTCAAGAACAGATCAGCGAGTATCTTTCCTTTTTCATGATGTACCGGATGGATGGTTGATTCGTTAACGTTGAACTCACGGCCAACAGCAGTACAACTCACGCCTGACCAAAGCTTATCTAACACGCCGGTCTTCGCCATAAAGCACATCTATCACAGCCTTCTTGCACTTACGACCACCAGCCAGCCCTTCACCGTGCTGCGGGGTCATTTTGTTTTATTTTATTAAAGATTTATTTATGCATACAAGAACTGGGGTACAGGCCAGAGATGGAGGGGGTGAGAGGATTCACCAGAGACAGAGTGGGGAGCAGAATAGGCTGACTGACGAAATACACTGCTGAGGTGAGCAGCAGGTGCGACAGGAGGGGTCTGCCGCACCATGTGGGTAGCTCTCTGGCCAACCGGGGATAGACCTCCTGCTGCAGTGGCTGCGGATTGCTTCATAGTGCGGTGCTTAACCCCTTGCACCACCAGGGAGGCCCTGCAGGGTCATTTTAAACAGTGAAAATACCAACAAAAAGTAGTAGTGCCCCAAAAGCGTGGCACTAGATAGACTACAAAAAAGACACTTACTGACAGTTGGAGCGCTGAACAGCCCGCCTTGTTCAACCTCAGCTGGTCCACACACCAGCTGGGGTCTCAAAATGTTCACCCTCTGCACACGACCGTGAATAACCCCAGCAAACACGCGATTATTGATTAGAGGGCGACAAAAATACCTTTTAGCAAACGAGCGGATTCGAAAACACTAGCCCGTGAATAATGAGGGCCTGCTGTATCCCCACGGACATGTCATTCTGTTTAAGCAACTTTCCTAAGCCGTAGCCCTGGGGCAGCGCTCCAGCGGACTACAAGCCCCAGCATGCACCGCTCCCGCACACGGCCCGTGCTCCGTCAACCGCCGCCGCCGCGGCGTCAGGCCCCAGGCCTTGGCCCGGACATGTCGCGTTGCCACACGTAGAACTCTCTGCGCATGTGCACACGCTCTAGGGGTCGCCCCGGCTGGCGCCGCCGCCCCCAGCACCATAACTCTATGGTGTCTCCCTAGTGCTCGGCCGTTGCCGGCAGCTGCTGCGGTCCTGTGGCTCGGCCCACCGCGCGGGGCGGCGACATGGAGGAATTCGATTCCGAAGACTTCTCTACCTCGGAGGAGGATGAGGACTACGTGCCGTCGGGTGAGCGACTCGGCCTGAGGCGAGAGGCCGCTTGCCCCGCCCCGCGCCTCACGTGAGGCGCGCTCGGCCGGGCGTGCGTGGACCGGGGACCCGGGGAGCCCGCGGCCGGGTCTCGCGAGTCCCCGCCGGCCAGGCCCGGCACCCTCGGCCCTCGTGCTGCGCCGCCTCGCCCCCCGGCCGGCGCGGGGGCGCGGGGGGATTCGCCCGACGGCCCCCTGTGGGCTGGCGTCGGCCGCGCCCTTGGCCGCAGCGCGGGAGCGCACGGGAACCCCGCGGAGCCCGGGGGGCCGCGGCCGGCTGCAGCGTCGTCGCCGGACCCCACCGACGGCCGAGCCCGCGAGAAGCGCGAGCGGGCGTGGACGCTCTCGTCGGCCCTCCGGCCCGGGGGGCTCGCTCGCCAGCGCCACACCCGACGTGGATGCGCCCCGCGCTCTGCCCTCGCCGGGGCCCAGAAAGTTCACCTCAGGATGGTGCACTTTGCCTCTCTGCAGTTTGTTTCTGCAGACGGTTTTGTTTTGTGTTTTAGCACAGGCATCTGAAGCCATCAAGCTCGTGGCCCAAACCTACCCTTTCTGCCACCCAGCGCCTTCCCCACACGCACCTGAGGTCGCTCAGGGCGAAAACAAACAGCAACACCCAAAGCTGGGAGTCATCCTTTTCCTTTTCTTTATCTTCTCTTTCTCTTCTCTTTATTGGGCGAAGCAATCCATGGGTTTTCTCTGAGCCTGTGGAAAATTCGTTTCTGCCTCCTCACCTGTCTCACTGCTAGTGAAGTGCCGCTAGGACGCACCAGAACTGCCCGACTGGCTTGATCGTGGTCACTGGAAAGCCACTTGGGATTTTCATCGACGTCATGCATGCACGTGCCAGAAATTGTCCACTCTAGCTAAAAGGCTTAGTTTGGAAGAAAAGAAAGAGTGCTTCCCATCACCTTCCATCCTTCTTCCATCTTCCCAGAAGAAACTGCTTTTCACTTTCTCAATTTAGTATTTCCAGTGTTGACTCAACCCATGCCTGTCTTGTCTCCTGCTTTACCCCATTCAATTCACCCCTAATTCCTAACACCCTCCTGTAGGCCATTCCACACTCTCCTGCCTGTTAGGGTTCCTGTGACCAATTTTGCTTAGCTCAGTATTCATTGAGGGTTTACCTGGAACTGTGCCGGCCTCTGCTCACAGGGGGACCATTTGGTACATACTGTGGTTGCTTTTCCTGCACCACTTATTTTCCCTGGAGTTACAATGGCTATTTTCTTTTTACTTGTCTAATTTGAACCTAAGCTAAGCATTGTCTGAAACCATCTTCCAAGATCCTTAGTTTTTTTAGGTAGGGTTCTTTATCTTGAAGTCCATTTGTCTTCTGACCTCTTCCGATTTGGCTTGGCTTTACAACCCTTTTAAATCTGGATTTTCTGTCCTTCTCACCACTGTGGGTGTTTCCTGTATCTCCCTTCTCTCTTGGACTCCCTCTTTTTTGGGTTCCTTGTCTTTTTTGGTGGGTTCCACCCAAATGAAAGTAAAATAAGTCTTCACATTTCCTGAAGAAGGATGCATGGTAGAAACTTTTTTTGAGAGTTTGTCTGAAAATAATTGAGAGCCTCAGGCATGATTGATAATTTGGCATAGATAGTAGTTTAAATCAGAATTTAAAGATTTTTGTTACTATCTAGTTTGTCATGTTCTGTTAAGCCTGTTTTGTTGTTGGTTTCTCCTCATTTATATAAAATGATAGAATCTTTGTTCCTGATGTTTTCTGATATTTCACAATAATTTACTTTGGTAAGAATGTTTTCATCCGTTGTGCTGGACCTCCTGGGAGTTATTTATTTTAGGACATTTTCTTCCTTCCATTTTCTTTGTTTTATTCTGAATTCATCATTTATATATTGAACTTTATGTTAGACCTAGACTGGAATCTTACTTTTATTCTCTCCTGTTTTCTAATCCTTTGGCTTTTTCCCAGTATATGGCAAGTTTTCAATATTTTCTTTTAATTCAAATTTTAGATTTGACTCTGGAGCAAAAGTTCTCTGTACTGTTTGCAAGATTGTTTTTGAATTATAACAATTCCTTGTTTTTTCTCCTATTCCCGCATTCCATCTTGACTGCCAAAGACAGAAAGTGGAAACCTTGGCAGTAGAGTTTTCAATATTTTATCTTTTAATTCCTATATTGACTTTTTTCCTTTTATAGTTTTGATTTTGAATAGCTTTTTGTTCCTTGAGGATATCCTTTTATAGCAACATTTTATTGTTTCATAAGTGCAGTATGTGATTGCTAAGAAATTAACAGTACTTTAAGGTTAGTTTTAAACTTAACAGTAAATTTCAGTGCTCTGTAAGTTTTGACAAATGCTGAGAGTCACCAAAATTAACAGCTCTAAGGAAGCACGCCCTCCCCCAAGGAAAAAAAACAGATAATCTTGTTTGAATAGAAACCATTTGATTTCTTCCTTTTCAATAGGTATACCTTTTATTTCTTTGGATTGCCTTATTTCTTTTTTTTTTTTTTTTTTACAAAGCATAATACAATATTTTATTTTTTTATGTAATTATAGCTCCATTTCTTTTTTTTTTACAAAGCATAATACAATATTTTATTTTTTTTATGTAATTATAGCTCCATTTCTTTT